CCATGAGCATTCGGCATGTCTAAGGAGTACAGGATTGAGCCTCTATGCCAAAAATTGCTTCACTACCTTTGTTCTAAGATGAGTGGTGTGTGGCGTTTTTCTTGTTTTGTTTTTGGTTTTGTCTAATCAGAACTGCAGTCAGCTCATGGCAATGCAGTGATAAAAATTCTCTTTCTCGTTCGCTAGCACCAGGCACTCACTGCATAGGGTTCCTGCTGCCTAGTGATTTGTATCCTAACATTCCTCAGAATGTTAAAATAAAACAACTATTCATTTAGGCCAAATATTTACAAAATAGACACTTTTAAAAAAAAAACTTACAATTTAAAACCAATAACTGGTTGGTTGATAAAACTTGTGTAGGTACTTATAAAAGTGACTAATAGTGATTCAGATATAAAGTAGGGAGATAACATGACATGTACAGTATCTTGACTGGAAATACGATTTCAGTGTTAAATATTTGAGTCTTCCATGGAAGGACTTTCAGGTACGCCACGTAGTGGCCAATGGAGATATCTGTCAGATACATGGCTATGAATGCTGAAAACAAACCACATAGGTATTTAAAATGAAGACCCGAGAGACAAACATGCACAAATCAACTCCAAACTAACATTCAGGGTTTCAATGTACTGCATCAATATGTGGCTCAGTTCCAGTTATTTGAAACGAATGCTCTAGACTTCCTGCTTTGGGTCCAGGCTTTGAGGAAAGGTCACTTTCATTTAGGGAGGCTACGGCTTTTGAAATTGACTCCCTTCATGTGGGACTCAATCCAAGAAAGATATTGAGTGACTCTGGTGTAGACGCCGGGCCTCTTTTCTTTAGCACAGCCATCTCCCCAGCTGACGATCCCATACAGAGACATCCTGCCATTGTGCTCGCAGACCAGTGGTCCACCAGAATCTCCCTGACAAAGCAAATAAAAAAGATCACAATCTGATTTTTGAGGATCCTGGAAAGCTAGGATAGAATGCTCCAGTAACTTTTATGGTCAGCATTATACTTGTAAGGGAAAAGGCACCTCCCTCAATGGGCTAGAAGGGAGTGAGTTATGTTACATGAAGTCCTCTGTCTGGTATCATTAGATTAGTACATGGAGCATTCTTGTTACAGAAGGCCTAAGCCAGGATGGCAGGTATTGTCTTGCAGGATCAAAAGCCATTCCCCTTCCATCCTCACTTGGAAAAAGAGAAATAAATATTCAGGTGTCTGCCCATTAACACTAAGAGAATTTTAGTGCTAATTGCAAGTCATGTTCCCTCCTCCTCCAACTCCGTGCAGGGCCTGGTTCACAGTGTGAGGGTCGAGGGGAATAGAGATGGATTTGAGGAACCTGTGCAAGGGATCTGCATCTCCTCCAGGCTGTGGAGACCAGCTCTGCTTTAGTTCTTTTCACAACCATGCACAGCTGGTTAAATGAAACTAGAGTACACTGGAGAAGAGCAGGGGCAGTTCCTCTGCTGTGTACATCCACCCACTGCTGTGTACACCCACCCACTGCTGTTCCAACAGAGTGGCCATGCAGTAGCTACAGAAGCTATTATAGCCCTAGGCCAGTGGTCCCCAACGCGGTGCCCACGGGTGCCATGGCGCCCGTTGGGGCATTTATGTGTGCCTGCCTACTGACATGGGAGTGCTTCCACCGCCGAGGAGCATGGCCACCAGCTGCTGAAATGCCGCCCAGAAGCAAGAAGTGTCACCAGCGAAATGCCGCTGCTTTTCGGCGGCATTTCGGCAGCGACACTTCTTGATGACACCGCTTCTCAGCAGCATTTTGGTGTCGGCGCTTCTCTATGACGCCGCTTCTCGGTGGCATTTCGGCGGCTGGTCATCCAGCGCCCACCACACTCTTCTGGGAACATGAATATGCTATTGCAACAGAAAGGTTGGGGACCACTGCCCTAGGCCATGAAACAGCACTGCAGTTCCTTCACAAGCTGGAAGGAGGTGGGGGTGGGGAGAAAGATTGCTGCTCTTCCATCACCAGCAGAATATTTTCTGTATCACACCTGATTACTGTAAGGTGAACTCCGCTGAGTAACTGAGTTCTTGTTCAAAAAATGACCCCGGTCCCTCTCTGCAAGGCCAGTGGACTTCAAAGATTCCAATGATTTACCATTAACACAAACCATGTGGATTATGTTAGAGGAACTCTGTCAGCAAATGGTTTTAAAACAAAATGTAAGCATTCCTACCTTGCATGCATCAGACTTCCACTGCACATCCCCAGCACAGACCATGTTGTCATTCACCCTGGTTTGGTCATAGTATTCATCCTGGCACAGTGACTGTGATATTAAGTTCACGTTGGCTGTCTTCAGTGTTTGGGAATAGTAAATGTCCCCTGCAAACACGAGGAGCTTGATTATATTGGCTTTCCCCCACAAACCCTCATGCTGTTATGTTCCCTCTTCATGCAGCAGAAGAAGTTAACTTGTCCACACAAAATATCAGTTTTGAGAATACTACATCTTTGTTATACAACAAATGTTTTTATTTTTACTTTTAGTAGATGAATAAGGTGCAAAATGTATTGTTTCCATTAGAATTTTCTGATTCTCAAACAGAAAACTTACCTGATTCTCAGACAGAAACAGGGCTTGATAACTTCTCTTAGTGGAGCCAAACCTGCAGTCTCTATTCATGCAGAAGACCAATCTAACTTTCAGCTCTTTGGTCTGCAGCAGGAACAGAAGACTGGGCATGCTTTGTGTCTCTTGTATTAATTTGTGTAGTTTTATAGAGGTGTGAGGTAATTTTGGTAAGAGTTCTTCCTAGAACTGGGGCATGTCAAGGGAAATGGACATGGAGAGTCAGAGATGGTGCTGGGATTTAGAGTCCCAAAAGAATGTGTGTGGCATAAAAGGAGGAAGACACTCTTGAATTGTTGGCATGATGGGGCACATCAAAACAGCCAATCTGCATGACTCATTGACTTGCGTAAATGTGATTGTTTCATCTGAGTTTGGTGGGTCTCAGTGGACACTGGTAGCACTGCATGGCTTTCTTTTAAAACTTCTATAACATGCACAAGCTGTGCTGCCCCAGACATGTGCCTCTTCTGCACTGCAGCAAGCTGCAGTTGTTATAGGGTGGAATTTAAAGGAGCCCAAGGGAGTTAAGTACCCAGTGAGAGGTGAGCTCCATTCTCTTAGGCCCTTTGAAAATCCCCAGCCATTGCTCTTCATAAAGTCACCTTCTATCTCCTGGTTTTAAGATTTTTATACTTCTCTTCTAGTACCTATGTTTTGTTCCTCATTCCTGCTGAGGTTTTAAAGAAGGATTCTCCCAAGAATAAAGGTGCCCAAGATCAACTGGTGCTAGAGATTTCAGGAGAGGGATGGAAACCTATGCTGGTATACGGCAGTAGAGGGGAGAGATCACTCAGTGTATGGATAACTGTAACAGGAGAGGGTGTGAAGAAGAATGCGACTGTTTGTTGGGGAAAAGTCAGACTACTCAGAAGGACTGTGGTTCCAGACACATGAATTATCTGTTTTGGAGACTACTTAGTTTTAATACACCATGCTCAGATCACATCGACTTGTCCTGTCATTCTCAAGACAAAAAAAATCCCCTCACCTACGCTTCTAATTTGTAGTAAAAAATGAACTTTGGTCAATTCCCCCCCATAGCACAGTGCCTAGCTTTGTATACTGGGCAGACTTGAGTTGCCATGATGAAAAGCTGAAGTATAGAAGATTCCCAAGTTTGACTAGCCGTATATGCCTCATTCCATCAGTATAAGTTTAAGATGATATTCACTTACAGTTGTCTTCTTTCCCATAGCCAGAAACTTCACACTGGGTATTGTCCCTCAGTACTAGGTTTTCAGATGGCAAACAGATAGTTCTGACATATTCAGACTCTACTGCACAATGTCCGGAAGCAGACTTTATTTTCATGAGAGCTACATAAAAATCAAAGTGGTTACAGTTAATATTGTAAAGTAGGAAAATAATCAGCTGGAATGATAACTTTCCAACAAGTAAAGGAGTACCTGTGGCACCTTAGAGACTAACCAATTTATTTGAGCATGAGCTTTCGTGAGCTACAGCTCACTTCATCGGATGCATAGTGTGGAAAATACAGAAGATGTTTGTTTTTATACACACAAAGCTTATGCTCTAAGGTGCCACAAGTCTCTAAGGTGCCACAAGTCCTCCTGTTCTTTTTACTATTATTTTAGTCACACAGATCTTTCCAAATTGAAATTGGCAAGTTTTTCACCCTTTAACTTCATCCATCTGAGTGACAGTGAATGAAAAAACTTCTCTTGAGTGAGACTGTAATCCCCAGGTGCTCCTTTCAGCATTTTGTAAGAACACAGCTCGGTGACTTGTGAGTGGGGGTGGCATCTACTGTCCCTCCAGCTGAGGGTCTGCGAAAAAGGATGTGCTGTGTTGCGCTACAGCACTCAGCCACTAGATGCTGCCTTCAGATCTAAACATTGGTTGAAACTTCAGCTGTTTTGAGCCTAGACCTGTGAAAACAAGGCCTCTGTCTTTTCTAATGGGTAACTGGTGGAGGGATGATGGGGTTGAGGTTAGCAGGTGTAAAACTAGCAAATCTGTATTGCGTACAATGGAATTAGAGACGTAAAGTCTGTATTTTGTGGGGGGAGGGGGCAATATGAAATCAATTTTTATCTACAGCGTGGGAAAGTGTCATGCAATGATACTTATCATTTACATTCCACTTCACATCTTCAAAGTGCTTTACAAACACTGACTTGCCCAAGAGGGAATTCTAGCCAAAAACAGGCCTAGTTATCAGGAGTGCCTGGCTCCTGGCATCCCCCTACTCGACAACTACTAGGCATTGCTTCTTTCTGCATCAGTGCCCCTACTATAACAGTGTACTTCATATGTGCTCAGGATTATAGATGTATTTCGGACACCACTTACCAATATCACTGTTGAAGTCACCTCTTTCATCTGAATATTCATGATGATTGATTATTCTTTCCACCTGAAATATTTGTTCTTTGTCATCAGTTGCATCAAGCTTGGACTTTCCAAGAAAAACTGTGTAGCCTGATGAATCCGTTCCCCTGAGAAGAAGGTAAATAAAGGAGACATGAAAACTGTTGGGTTTCTGAGAGCAAGGATAGGTTTGTTTGTTTGTTTGTTTGTTTTAAAAATAATTTGGTTCATAATGTGAACAACATCTTAGAGTCCTGTGAACTTCTCCCTTCTCATTCCCTGTTTCAAAAGTCTTGTGTCAACTACAGCAACTGTTCATGTAGAAAAGTGAAGCTAGGCAGCTTTGAGAGTCTGAGCCTAAATACTTTTCTAATGGATTTGGGGTCCTGATTCCCTCGTTTAAAATGAATGGAAACTGGGTGTTCAAATCCCTTCAGTTACTTAGAAAAACCTCAGCCAGAATGTATTTCTAGCTGGCTGTCTTGTTTCTAGCTGGTTCTATAGGTGTCCAGGGCTTTCTGGGCAATGACACCTCTTGAAACTGTTAGAATTCAGGGGGAAGTCAGCTTTCCACAATCACCAAATGTTCTGTGCAGGAGGTAAGCAGACCCCAGTCAGAGAACAAGTTCTGAGTTTGGAAAACAGCTGAGCTAGAACATAATCCTGGCTGTCAGGGAGGGATAAATTGCTATCTGAATTTGTTTTAAACTTCACCCTCAGAGCTCCACTCTCTAGCAAAATATCTCCCTTTTGCTACAAGGTACAAGATATAGGCTTCTAATGGCTTAACTTTCTCCCTGCTCTGCTTAAAGAAAAGAACAGTCCTGCTGTGGCTGAGTTACACGTGTGTGGTTTTTAGCCATGGGGCATTGCCCCAAAGCGGCAAAGCAAAAATAAATCAGCAGTAGACACGGGAGGGGTAATGAGTGCTTACAGTTGGGAGAAGCAGTGTGCAGCGGTAAGCACCCAGCAAGGGTCAATGAGGGTTCCACCACACACAAATTTGTCCTGCTCCATTCTCTTTGAATAATGGAAGATGGTGGCTATCCAAGGCTGAGACTCAATAGTGGCAATGCTCCCGCTAACGATCTTGAAGTACTTGCTGGAGCTCCTCTGGCCACATGTGGGTTCTGTGAAAGGAAAGGAAAAAACTTGTTGGAAGTGTGCTCAGTTAAAGTGCACTCATAGAATTACAAGTAAGCACCAGTCCTGGTGCTGAAACTAGCTTAAATACCACTAATTCTGTCCAACAAATCTTCAAGAAAATGTGTTGTGATGTTCTCATTCAGTCACACCATCTAGCCCTTAAGAGCATGTATAATTCGAAATGGTGGATATTATGGGTTGAATTCTACTTGCAGATAATCTATGGAAGCTAGTGGGGCTGTAGAAGTGCAATGGAGAAGAATTTGGCCCCCAGTTGTACTAGAGGACTCCAGTTTGAAATTCACCATGTACTGTGAAAAGGTGCCTTAAAAACTAAAGGTTTCAGAGGAACAGCCGTGTTAGTCTGTATTCGCAAAAAGAAAAGGAGTACTTGTGGCACCTTAGAGACTAACCAATTTATTTGAGCATGAGCTTTCGTGAGCTACAGCTCTCCTGCTCCTCTGTTTTGCACTGAACATATCTTGTACCATTCTTTTGTAGAAGTCTGGGGGTTAGAGTCAAGTTCAAATCTCCAAGTGATTTTCAAGTAAATCCTAGCTTACCTCTTTCTGTGCGACACAGTTGTATGTCACAGTCTGTTGCCAGAGTCAGATATCCCCTCTTAATGTAACACCAGGGCTTAGCTTTTCCATCTGGGTTTCTGGAAAATGAGGGAGACATGTTTTTTTGTAAACAGTGCTTCTAAGTGCTAGTGACTCAATAAAATCTGAATTCCCCCTGAAGAGGGCTGTCAGGGGTCTTCTATTGCAAAGCATGTCAAAGGAGTAAATTTGCAGAAGGACAAAAGCAAATATTTTATGCATAAAACCTGCAGCTCGTCCATATTATTTGCTGCATTGGTATTTCTTTATAAGGCTGTTGAAGGGCCCAAGACAGCAAGTACAGAGAGCACCCAAATACCATTAATTTCAGTGGAAAAATAAGGGGACTAGACACCTTGAAGGACCAAGTCCAAATTTTAGCAAGCAGTCTTGGAAACTCCTGGTACTCCACGGAATGCATCCTATCACTCCAGGTGCTCTGGGGAATAGCCAGCCCAACAGGCATGAGAGCTGTAGGAATTACCTGCAGTAGTTGTGTTTCCCGAGTCCAAGCTGCAGGGCATTTCTCATGCCTGCATGGTAAGCTCTCCTTGTTAGTGAAGGGGAGTCCCAGGATAAGCATTCTTCATTTTTCGTATTCTTTGACACAGTCCCTCTGTAGTCCTGACCGTTCTCAGTATAGCATTGACTTTCAGTGTCTGAAATATGAACACACAGTTGGCAGCATATTCTGGATTGTTCACCGTATGCCACGGTGGAAAGAAGCCAGGTGATTCCATTCTAATGAGAAGCAGGATGAGATTCCTGTCACTGACACACTTGCCAACAAACAGGTCAGTATGTGGACTGGAATGTCACTTCATTGCTGTGTTCGACACATGCAGCTCTAAGACTAAATGTATATGTGTTTTGGTTCTCCCAAAAATACACAAAAATCATGTCTTGAATCAAATCTGTTACCTTTTATGTGAGGATCTCGGCATATTTCACAACTTAAGTCTCACAATACTTCTGGAGATGAATGTAAAACAAACCAACTGTATTTTACAAACTAGTAAACTGAATTAGAGAGGTTGTAACCTTCTCAAGATCAGCTAGTGACAGAGTAGAGAATAGAACCCAGGAGTCCTGGTTGTCTTTGCCCTAATATTTAGGCATTGCGCCTTCCCTTATGCATTAATACAAGTTATTAAGAAATATCCATTTGTGTTTCTGTCAGTGGTACTTTCATTTTTATTGGTGCACAGAAACTGAGATTAGAAACACCTTAATTTTAGAAAATGGGCAGTTGTGGGGGGGAAGGTGGAATATAGAATGGGATAGGAACCACTGTATCATACCTATTTCACAGTGCTGTCCACTGTATCCTTTTGGACATAAGCAACGGTTAATCTGGGAAAAGAGTTGATAGGAAATGCAGGTTCCTCCATTTACACAGTTACAATCTGCAAGCAAAAGACACCAATAACCAAAGTTATAAATCTTTCAGTAGATCCATAAATTGAAGGATAGTTGACGCATGTCTGGTATGTAACTATTCCAAAGGAATTTTGTTGTCTAGTATGTGTTGTTTTAGAGAGACAGAAATAGAGATGGCAAGTATTTACCCTGGTGTCCTGATTTATGTTTGATTGATAGCTTGTGTCGCTGCTGCCTGGTCACAGCCTAAGGGGGGAAAATAAAAATTTGTTTATTTTTTAAGGAAAGTTTCTTACAGATTGTTCCTTTATTTATGTGCTCACTTTTGTCTATCTCTGGAGTGTACATAGACAGGCCCTAGCTCTGTCCCTTCCTGCATGCCTGCAACCCTAATGACTTTGTTAGTGTTATATGCATGCGACTGACAGCAGAACTTGGGGCATTCAGTGCAGTCCAGGTAGGATGAGTGGGGATACAGTGAAAGTCTACTGCAATAAAGTAGAATGAAAACACCCAACTGCTTCAATGCACCAAATTGACATTTCTTTTGCAATTCTGCTAAGAAGGCCAAAGTTGCCTCAGAAACAAAGCCCATATGGCCAGACAGTGAGCAAAGGGTCATTGGGGGAATCCACCTCCTTCCCATTCACCTACACCAGACAGTGGAATAAAGGCACAGGACTTATCCACCACTACAGTCCTTAGCTTTTGTTAACCCTGCTGCTGGTGCATCCTTGCTCTATGGTAGTGATGGCCAGTGGATCTATACAGCAGTAGTTCTACTTGTCCTGTGTTCCAGATCCTGACTCTGCCTGGCACACTGGAACTATACTGCAGGCAGGGGCCTCTGCTCGAAAGCAGGAGAAGACAGGATTAGATTCCTAGCACTCTGCCCTTTGGAGTGAAGGGGATCGGTCAGTTCAAAAGCAGGACTTGGCTACAGAAAGCTTCTGCTGAATCCTTGTGTATGGACAGCATTGCCTTACGTGATACAAGCTGATAGGAGCCAAAATATCCAAAGTCAGCATGGGGATTGCGGGGGAGGCATTCAAATAAAGCCTAGTATCCTGCATTAAATCTTTGCTAATTCCTAGTACTTGATGTCCTGCAATAGCGCTAGAATTAAGAAGAAATAAAGTAAGAGCAAAAATGGCAGAGGCTGCTGCTCTCTCCATCCTATCTAATCCCCATCAAAGTTCTCTCCAGAAAACCATAGTGTTTCTTCTATATCCATAGGTGACAACTACAGGAAAGAAGGTTCAAACCACAGTTGTGTCACAGAAAAAAGCCTGGTGCATACATGTGGCAGAAAGCAGGACGGTAATAATAGGCCTAGTTCAGTGATCAAAGGGGAAGATTTTATCGTCTAGTCAAAAATGGAAATAAGCAGGATCTGTGCTGAGTGAGTGGCTGTGCTTGTTGCGAAACTTACAGATTCTAGGCTTGTGACGAGTGCCCCCAGCATAACTGAGATAACGATGAGTAACTTCATGCTGTTGGGGAAGTCGTGACTTGGTTGGTTCCTCTTCTACCTGCAGTATTTCTGCTTCTGAAAATAAAAGAGGAACTTAAAGTGGTGTTGTGGCTTGGAGTGCTAGGTTACAGCTGTTCATCCAGCAGTTTGAACTTCAGCATCAACCACAGTACGCTTAGGAGAAGGAGTAAAGAATAAGTTAGCTTGGACTATTTGCTCTTCTTTCCCATGAATTAAAAGAGAGCTTGTTGTCTGAACCTGGTCTCGAACTCGTTTTAAAGGATAGATTCCCTATAGATTTATTTTGCTAATGCTCCTTAAAACCCTTCCTGGAGCTAGAAAGCTTTTGTTTCTTGAGACCTCTATCATAGCAGTTGGAACTGGAAGCTGGGCAAGTCTAAACAGACCCACTCTTGTGTGTGAACGCTTGTACATTCATGGGTGAAACACAAGGACAAATCCTGCTCTCAGTTAAGGATTTGGTTGCAACCTTCACCTCGAATCACCCAGCCATGGTCAGTTCAGTAACGTTATTTT